ATGTTGTTTTCAGAATTGTTTTTCAGACTTGTATTTCACACATTTTTAATGTAACTGTTTTTACGCACCTTAAACGTGTTTAAAATTTTATGCTAGCATTGCCAACTTTGGTCAGTCGGCAGGAGTGAGATTTTGTAGCAGTAGCAGCTCCAAGCGGATCGAACGGGCGACAGCCAAAACAAGAGGAAGAATGGAAAATAACAGCCCTTTTTGCGATATTATTATCAGATAATCATTTTTACACCGCCTTCAACCTATATCCATTTGTTGCCAGTCACTCGTTAAACATTTACAGCACACAGATAATATGATGCGTTACGTTTCTTTCGTTCATTCCATCTGCGACCCCCTGCAATGGCAGTGAGCCCCCTCTTGGGGGCACGCCACCCACTTTGGGAACCTCTGAGTTAAACTACGGTAACGTTTTGAAGTTGCTGCGAGTCAAAACGGAGCAGTCTGTTGGGTAAATATATATCAAAACTTAGATGCTCGCCTGAATTCACAAGAGTAAATCCTGTTCAATTCTCGCAGCAAGTGAACAGCTGCAGACAGTGCTTGTAATGCAGTGGTCTTCAGTACAGAGTTACAGGAGGGTTTTACAGAGCAGACAGGGTGGAGGCTTGCATGTCAGCGTCTGTTTCCCAGACGTGAACTTGAAGGTTGCAACCTTCAAGGTGGGATTTAGAAATGTCAGGTTCTCCTTTTGGCATCCTAGCTCTGATTCAAAGACAGCTACTCTCGGGATACAGGGTTCGAGTCATGTGACATCATCATCATTTTTTAACGAGTCACTCTTAGCAGTAAAACAATTCCAGTGAATGGTTATAGGAGTATAAAGGAGGGCATAAACTTGGCATAAATTTCTCCATCACAGTCTCTGTTGAGACACAGCCTCAGGCACCCTGCTCTACAACACATACACAGCCTCAGGCACCCTGCTCTACAACACATGCACACACATAGACACACTCACACACACTGGACCATCACGATATCTCACCATCCCCACTGCTGGGTGGGTTATCTCACAAGTCATGCGATGGAGTATTTTGAATGTTTTATCTGACTAGTTTGAAGTAAGAAAATACCTACACTTGTAATCGGGTCTATGCAACACAGAGCTCATGAGCAATAATTAATGAGATATACGAGGAAATAGAAACATTTTATGAAATGTTGCCTAGAAAACGCCTACGGACGAAATAATGAAACGTGCAGACAGGAAGATTTAAATGTCTTGACCACGGCCGACGGCATGGGAGGTACATTACCCTTATGTTTGTGATATACAGTACATACTGGGGTACACGTGCTTGTGTAAGTGTGCGCGCGCACTTTGTGAGTAACTTCTGCAAATATTAATAACTAAATAGCTGGCATAAATTTCCCACTCCCTCTGGTATTATCGTTTTCATTATGACTGCTTTTCATCTTTGAAGCTGCGATATCGTTAATCACTTGGAGCTCTCCCCTCCCCAACCCCCCCCGGTAGTCATACAGAGTCAAGACTGAGTCCAGACTCTGACCGAGCTGGGTGTTAAAGCACAGACCCAGACCCTGGTTATGCATACAAGTGATATTTGTGCTATGTAGATCAAAAAGCTACTACCTTTAGATGTTTCCCTGACATGAATATTCAACATCGTGGTTGAAATCTAATCTGGGTCTCCTTGTCTCGAGGGTCTTTTCATCAGTGCCTGTTGCCCGAGGCTACAACTGATTGACAGCCAAACTTTAGAGTAAAAGAACAAACAGGAGGGGAATAAAGAGGTGGGGAGTTGGCTGACCTAGTGGGGTGGAGATGTGAGCATTGTGAGCAGTGGAGAGCTGAAACAGATATGGTTGCACGGTGCAATTTAATCTTCTTGTGTGTCCAGCCAAAAAGATTTGTACTTGAACAAAATAAGTCAAAATCCAGATTTCCAGCTTTTCAACAGCAGCTCTGTCTTCGGCCATATAGTAACAGAAGCGGTCCTGTTAAATGTGGGAATGGTCTCCAAAACTGTAAATACTTTTAAGGTAGGGCATTAATAATATTTACAGTTGAAAGGAAACCTGTTTCTTGATTGGGTGAACAGAGCTGATTTTAAAGTAGATTTATTACCTGCCATGTACCATGACGCGTATGAGTTCAGAAACAAGACACATTGTGATTCTGTTGGAAATAAAGGACTCGCACACCATCGTCCACTTGTTCCCACCTCATGTGTTTCTCTCCAGTCTAATTTTTTTTTTCACAATATCATGCAAATGATATATGTGTGCAGTGTGTCGAGTACCCTGTTGTAAACTATAGGATTAAGCCTCCTACATACAGTGGCTAGCACAGTCCGTTGAACGGCTTTGCAGTAAACAAAGTGTCACTTAAGCTTTGTAGCATTATTTATATATTTCAGTTAAACAAATGAACACACGCAATGTCGGTTGAATATGTCTCAACAAAAAAGGGACTCGGTGAGGTTTAAACATCTCATCTCTTCCCTGTGACTTCAAACAGGAGAGGTACATTAGCATATTCTTCGGGTGTTTCCATAAATTGCTATTGTATTTTGCTATTAAATACACCAACATGGTGCCAGGGAGTATCGGGTGTTTCCATAAATTGCTATTGTACTTTGCTATTAAATACACTAGTCCAGGGGTCACCAACATGGTAGCCCCCGTGGACTACCTAAGGTACCTGTGGGGTATGTTCTATAAATTAAACTAGTCAACAAGAGGGTCAAAACCTGTACTGTTACTGTACTTTTTGAATCAGTTCCACTTTTGAGTGATATTCAAATGGTCCTTTTTGAATCAGTTCCACTTTCAGTGATATTCAAATGGGTCAGTGACGAGGGTAAGAAGAGTGTCTACTGTTGTATGTCCCAGAACTGATTATTATTACATTGTTCACAAAGTCTGTATTAAACAAGTAGCTCTTCGTATTACCTCATAGTGTCCTTGAAGTCAGTTTCAAAATGGTTGGTGACCCCTGGACTAGACCTTTAGAGCAGTGAGACCCTGAATTTAAAGACAAAAACACATAGCTATACAAGAAATAGGCCTGATACAGATGCTAGTATACTGTGAAAACATTTCTGTCCTCTAGAGGGGGCATGGCATAAAAAAAACACACTGAGCTAACTGGCTCCTTCCTTACTGTTCAACCTTTCATACAGTTGTACAGGTCAGGCTCTGGCTGTCTGTTAGCTGTGGTCCTGCTGCGTCTACCAGCTGGCCCAGGCAGATGATCCCTGGATCTGTAAAGCGTCCCCATCAGTCCGGGTACGCTGTCGCAGCAGACGTCCAGCCTGTGAAAATGTTGATGTTTTTCTAACTGTATATCAGAATATCGTTCTCAAAGGAACAAAACATTTCCTCAACTTTGTATCTAATTATGGTCGCTCTGTAAAAACCCATTGAGAGACTCCTTTAAAAGAGGAGCTACTTGATACAATACGTTAAACTTTGGAAGAAACATTCTAAATCATAAGGGATATGCAAACATTAGTCCGAATGGCCCAGAGCAATTAACACATAAAGCTATCAATGGACCGCAAAAGCTAAAAGCCTATGAATCCATCCATTCTTCACATATTAACTACCCTTAAAGCAGACCCAAACAGGATGGGTTTTTATACTAATTAGCATGCGTATCAGTGATGCACAACCACCACAGAGAAAGGACTAAGGATGAAATGGTAAAACAGCACTCATTTAACTTGAGTCATTAACTTGATGTTAATCACTAATTAATGGTGCTCACCAATTTACATGTATCTCTGTAGGTCTTGTGATGAGACCTGCCAATAGTGGCCTACATTACAACAGGCTGGGGGAGGGTTTATTACCCCCTCTTATCCGCTCCTGCCACAGCATTTAAACTCTTCGAATTAATCAGTTTCTATAGAGCAGGCACATAATTAGGATTATATATCTGCTTTTTTTTTACAACATCTACGCTAGGAGTGGATTTGACCACTTCTGACACTATGAACGAGGCACAAAACCCACACTGGCTGCCAACCCTGCCTGTTTGTTGACTTAACCTATATTTATTTATTTATTTGTTTGTCATGATGACAACCTTAGTCACTAAGATCAATTAAAAGGCCGAGTGTTTTTTGGGGGGGTGTTTCTTACTAGTTTCTGGCTAATGAAACGTGGACTGTGAACGGAGAACAGTTTTTTTTTCTAATAAACTGTAATATACAGTACTTAAATCATTATTTTTAGTTAAAATTACTAAATTATGTTACATATTAACTTTTTTTAAAAAATAAGTGTGACACATTTAACATATAAAAATAATATTTGTATTAATTGTTGATGTTGGGATGACCTGTCAAATCACAAAAACAACAATTATTATTGATATTCTTAGTAATTACAGAATTGTTTTTATAGAAAATGTCGCATTAGGTTTAACACGATTCAATAATAATAATAAAAACACATATATATATATATTATACAGCATTACTGCCCGATCCTTGTTTAACTTCCCTGGTGATACTATGCTACCCCCCAATGGCGTTTTGGAGCAACTACACGCCATCATTGGATACGGGCGAGTAAACACGACTCAGTCCATTCCATGGCCACACATAGGGAATGACAACCATTCACACTTATACATACATTCAGTTTAATGTCCATTAACCTTATGTGTTTGGACTGTGGAATTAAACCAGTAATCTTCTTTATGAAAGGCTACAAAGCTAACGACTCTCTAACCATGGCGACCGAAATAGGTTTTACTTAAGTCAAAATATCGTAATTTTAAGGCACCTTCAAAGCACTTTAGCGCCAGTTTTTCTTCCAGTGAATTTATAACATTTATAACAAATTATAACAATATAAGTTGCTCCAGAGTATAAATCGCACCAGTGCCCTCTAGCGGCTGTCAGTGTGAAAGTAACAAACGTACATTTTCAGTGGTACAGGGGCAGCAGATCTGCCCTCTAGTGGCTGTAAGTGTCAAAATAACAGATAAATATCAGCAAAGCAGAAGACGATTAGGAAAAGAATATTTTATTTATTATTAAATATATTTCATTATAATTTAACAAGATTCCAAGTTCTGCAATTCATTTGATTGTAAGCCTACTAACAAACAGTCTTTTTCTTTTGACATAGTAAATATTTTTTCTTGAAAAAAAATGGCATTAAATATATGGGGTAAACAAAATAATTAATGTGTTCCCCTTCTAGACCTTTACACTGTATTTAAAAAAATAATGGTAAAGAAAAAATCTCACTCATTTCATAGTTAAAATGTCAAAAATATAGCTACTTAAAGCTTTTTTTCTCAGAAACATTTTTCTTTGAGGTGATATATAGGGATAGCTCGATCCGATACGAAAATTCAAACATTGAAAATACATAAAGAGAAACCATAGCCCATCTGATCCGATACCCAGGCCCAACTTAACATTGCAGAAAATGCCATAAACAGGGACACTATCGTCTCAGCAACAGCAGTATGCTGGAGGAGAACAGACGGTATTGGATTCATATCAGTCATCGGCAGATACTCCAAGTTGCAGTGTCGGGATCAGACATACCAAAGGAAAGGAAAGCAAAGGGAAGTAAACTACTTGTCATTGTGACACAGCACACAACCAAATGTGACCTCTGCTTTTAACCCATCACCAAAGTGAACAGTGTGTGGGGACGGTGCCATGCTCAGAGCACCTCAGTGGTAACTGGGAACTCGAACCTAAATCCTTCCAGACCCAGGTCCGCTTCCTTAACCATTAAGCCACCACTGCCCCAAAGTTGTATCCAGTCATCCCTAGACAATAACATTTGCGTTTCACATGTATTATTTTCTTACAAGCCGTCTTTAATAATATCATGCGAAGGCTGATCCACATTTAGCCTCATGATCTCATAATGACTATTTTTCCCATCACCCTTATTCATTCATTGATATAAATACTTTGTCTATTATGACTAATCTCCTTTTGACTTCAAATGTAATAATAATAATAATAATAATAACAATTATCATTATAAAAATATTAATATATTTGAGACATTTTTACAGGATCTATCATGTGCTTGTCCATGTTTTTGTTTCAGTAACTGTTCAGAGACAGAAACACACTGAACCAGTGTTTTGTAGGGATTACATGCAGACTTGCAGTCGCCAACATCGCCTGACATTTTTACCGGTTGGTTGTTTCCAAGCTGCTGGTTGTCCTTGTCCACGGTTCTGGTCCATGTGAGGCTCCTGCTTCAGATATGAATGTTGTTGTGACTGACCTTAACGCAGTCAATGTCGATCCGTCTGGCTTCGGCAAAAGCCAAGAAGGTGCAGAGGCCTATCAGGTTGACCACAGTGACTTGAGCAAAGACAGACGCCCATGAGCCTGTAGCCTCGATGAGATACCCTGAGAAATACACCATTAAGACCCCTGTGGAAAACACAAATTGTACATATGTAACTTTGCATAGTAGCTAGTGTGAAGCACTTTTTATGTTGGGATGCAATTTAGTCACTAATTGAAACAGTGGGAAGTTTTTACTGTGTTGGCGTTGTCTTTCTTTTAGGCATTTTAGAACAGACATGATGCCGTTTTCACTTTGTTGAGGACTCTTGACACAGCAGTAGGCCAAAGAAACTTAGTTTAGCCGATAAAGCGCACATTATGCTCACTAACCATTGGCCTGATGTGGTTCATATGGAACCAACCTTCAACCAATGATCTGTAGTTTGTTTTTCCAAGGTGTTTGGATGTTTTGGGGGGGGTGTGAACAGACATGTAATTCCAAAATATAAATCATAAATACATTATTCGGGTCTCACCTGAAAAGGCACCACATGTGTTCATGACACCTGCATGAAGAATGCAAATACAGATATAGAATGAGTTAACAAAATCAAACAAAATATTCATACATTTCAAAAAAAAGATTGAAGATGACATAGGTATAAATATCATTTTAACAATCACCAGAAAGCATTTATTCATTGTTGAATCATATATAAATATAAAATATAAACGTTACCAAATAAAGCCCCAGCACAGGATGGCGCTAGATCTTGAACGTTTACAGAGACTCCACTAAAGAGAGAGAAAAAAACCCAAAAAAAAACAGTAAGTCCAAGGAAGCCATTTTGTACTGACTGTTGTATGAGATAATTTCTTTAAATTTTAATGTTAATATGTGGCATGCCATACCATGACTTTGGCATACACAAAAAACTCCCACCACACAGTCATTATAGGATTGACCCAGCATTCTAAGTATAGCAGTTCATTTTGAAGACTGTCCATTGATTTATTTCTTGTGAATTATGAATTACCCCACTGTATTTTGACCAGACTTTAATTATTTTTTGTCCAAATCTACATTAACGGGTACATTTACAATTATTTGAATTAAACGTTGCTCCATGGCATATTGTTGTGGTGAAAATCACCGACACACACCTTGCTGCCTTGGAAGATGTCTACTAGTCAGGCCAAGTCAATTTTATTGGTATAGCCCAACTGCTCACCAACTGTTTGGCCTTAGGCAATTGGTCTAAAAACTATTATTTATTTACTTACAGTAAATAAGTTACTCACCACAAGTTTACTTATAGTAAATAAATGAAGGAATAAATAGTTCTGTCTATGATAGTGGCAGGTAGAACGATCAAATACTTTACCACTAGGTGGTAGCAGATGGCTATAAAAACTACCAAAATTCTTCAGTTCCTGCATCTATATCTATGTTGTGTTGCACTAAACAGTCCCAGGTTTCACACTGACTATGTAAATTGTAAATAAATAGAAAACTAAAAGATCATAATATTTCAACATATAATTTTTGTGACATTTTTATTAGACCTTAACCAAACGTTTTTGTCAGTGCCATACAACAAAAGCTAACAAAGCGTAATCCTATCTGAAAACATAGGGGGCACCATTACCTGTGACTGAAGGTGGTGAAGCCCATGGTGGCAGACACAAATGCTACAGCCCAATGGAAAGTGATTTTGCCACACAGAAGAATTGTAAATATACTGGACACACCCATGGAGAAAAACTAATGAAAAAAAAAAAAGAAGAAGAACCAAAAGACAAATGAATAAGGAAAAGATTACAATGAGGAATTAATACACTGTGCGTGTTATTACATTATATATATATATTTTTTTTTTTACCTGCATCAGTTTCCTCACAGATGCTGTATCAAATCCTGAGAAGAAGCAAAGACATATTTTTTAACCTTTGATAAATGGTCACGCTTTCACAATGTTTCACATTTCAAATGATTTAAAATAACCTTTATGCAATGGTGACAATTAGATAGAGACAACAATTAACAACAATTAAATACTCTAAAACTTAAATACTATAAAAACTATAAAATAATAATAAGTCAAGTGCTGGTACAAAAAGACAAATAACAGCAGCATTCACTACTTTTGTTTAATGAATACGAATGTAATTATTAATATGGAAACTTGTAGTATAGTATTACTTCAAATTTAGTTTCATAGAGTAGGTGGATTTAGTCATTACTGTGTATCTTGGCAGTGACTTGTAGAACGCATCAAGAGTTGCTTTAAAACTACGATAAGTAAATGGATGGTGGAATTATTATAAACAGTTTGCGTCATTCTGCACACATTACTCATCCCAAGTTCATAAATGCATGTATTATGTATTCATTTTGACAGTATTTCTAATAATATTTTTTTACAACCTTTTTTAAAACAAAAAACTGTAATCAGCTGCTCTACCTTGACTGATGAGATGGTCAGACAGGCAGCCACTAAAGAGAGAGGAAGGTATGGCCACTAACCAGGGAATGACATTGAACACCCAACCCTGCAAGACAAAAAAAAAAAAAAAATTTGTAGGGCAAGTATTTCTTCCAAGTTCTATCCATACAAAGGTGTTGTCAGGCACAGGTCTTTAACACAAGTTTCATTGGCCTGTGGTTTTTGCCTGCTTAATAACCACATCTACCGCCCTCTGCTCTGGTCTTAGTAAATCTAAATGAATAAAGTTTGATGACATTTTTCTTGCTCTTTCAGATCAAATATGTTATCACAGAGGAGATTTGCAGGATTTTACCTTGGCTTCAGGGAAAGATTCTTTGAAGAATGTGGGCAGCCACGACAACAGGGTGAAGAAAGTACTTGCAGTGCAAAGGTGTGTCACAATCACAGCACTATTCAGAAACAAAATGTTAAAAAAAATATATATATATATAATAAGTATGGTACAACCTTAAGCAAAGTCTTTTTGGCCTTTATATCGGCTGACTTATTTTCTAAGTAATCATAACATGTTTAGATAAACAGCGACAGCCCTCCTTTATATCGGCTGACTTATTTTCTAAATAATAATAAGATGTTTAGATGATCCTTTTAAAGATATTTAGCTCACCAGACTGCCGGTTGTTTAAAAAGCTGCAACCAATGTCTCCTAGACAATTTAGAGCGAGAACCACTCCTTCCCAGGGACTCGAGGGTGATGATGGGCCCTGTAGAAAGGAACGCTTTTTATTAAACTGACTTAAGTGGCACACAAATAAGAAGCCTCAAATTGAACGTTGCACTACCAACTGTGATTTTTGAAATCTTAAGTTTGCGTATTTCACAGCCACCTCATTTAGTTTAAGCGGTAAGCATTTAATTACTCTCTACTAACTCTGTTCCGCCGATTCCTCTACAGAACCTGCTCCCAATGTTTAGATTCCTTGGAATTTGTTTGCTCAGTCATTACACTTCCTGATTCTACAGACAGTTGCAAAATACACATTTGTCATCAAACACATGCTTCCTAATTCAACTTAAGAGTGTTTACACTGCATTACTCAAAAAGGCTCTAAGGCTTAGTACATGTCACGAGGAGCCAAAAAATCAGCGAGGTATTACCTCCAGTATGGAGAAATACGTAGTGACACACCATGAAAATTAATTTGCATTCATGTCCTATCCTGTCTGAGTAGTCAAACTGGTCCAGGTCCTGTTCACTGTTATTGTTCGCACTATTTGCACTGTTGTTAGCACTATTTGCAGACCTGTGTATGATAATTGCCACCTCCTATAATTACAATTAGCTGACAACCACTGTGGAACAACTATATACCATATACTGTGTACTACTCAACCATCCTGCTGCCAATCACATGCAACAAATTATTTTCTATTTTTTTCATTTGACATCTATTTAGATTCCACTTGCAAATGGGACTCGATTTAGCCGTAGTAGAAGATCTGGAAGTGGCAATTTAGACCGTAATGTAAGTAACCTTAGGCCTTAAGTTATACTTTTCATCAGTGATTGCTCGATCAGATTCTCAAGATCGGTATTCGTTTGATACTGGTCAAAATTTCATGATATAACAATTCAATCCAACACCTAAGCCCAAATGCTCAACTTAACTTACGGCATGACATGCCGTAAACAGGGACACTAACGCCTCAGTAACGTCAGCTTGCTGGAAGAGGAAAAAAAGGTATCGGACTGCGATCGGTGTTGGCGGACACTCTCGCCATCCTAAATTTTCATAGGCAAATTAAGCCGTATCAGTTCTAAATAAAGCCGAAAGTCTATGGTACTGAAAAGGCTGGTAATAACATAGAAGTGTGCTTTCTTACTTTCTCCTTTTAATAGATATTTCCACAAGAAGTAGGCCCACATCACTGAGAAGAGACCAGATACGTAGAAAACACTCTCCCAGCCATATATGTCCAACATAAGGGAACCAGCGCCTCCAATCACTAGAGTGCTGCATGGGGAAAAAAAAGAAGTCAGTCAAAAGAGACACGTACAGCATGTTATTTAGTAAAACTCTGGTTTTATGACAAGATAATACATGTTACACTGTAAGGTCAGAGCGTAAAAGAAAATGGTACTTCTCAGGAAAGCTGATAAAAATTAACAAATAAAAACTGATTCTCTCTAGTTCAGGCATGTCCAAACTGTTCCTCAAAGGGGCTGTGTGGCTGCAGGTTTTTGTTCCAACCAACCAAGAGCACATAGTCTGACAGTCAGGTGTGCTACTGTTTGGTTGGAAGAAAAACCAGTAGCCACAGGGGCCCTTTGTGGAACGGTTTGGGCACCCCTGCTCTAGTTAAATTAACCTCATTCAAATGAAAAACAATTGAAAACAATTGAAAACAATTAAAAAAGTAAACACACTCCCCTTATTACTTAGGAACTATTGACTTACCCCAAGTAGGACCCACTGCCTACAGTGCTCATGAGGAAGCCTCTTTCGCTTGCCACCACCTTTTGAGAGCAAAGACTTGCAAGGGAAGGGTAATGCACCCCTAAGGAATTGACAGAAAACACGAGTTCAGGGGCGAGATCAACCTAGTTTGATAAGGGGTGTGAGAAAAATATCGATACGTCAGTATATCCCGATATCTTGTTTTTTTTACGATACTGTATCGATATTCTACAGCACTGTATCATTTTTTTTAGACAACAATTAACATGCAAATATTCATGGTGTCGGTTCATTTTATCTTACTTTTATTTCTACTCTAGGGATCACAAATGTAGATACCACTGCTCCAATTTTAGTAACCTGATGTTTAGCATGTAACAGCATTGTCTTTATTGTGCTGAAAATTTTCCTACAATTGGTTAAAAAAACATCAATAGATCGTCTAAATGGGTACATTTTTGAAATTAGGCAGAGTACCAATCTTAGTAACAAAATTGTGACCATAATGATGATAATGGTGCCTGGTATGCTTGTTTCAAACCCTGTGAGGTAATAATTGTGGCTACCTAGCTAGTAGCTAATTCATTTTAGTGGTGCAGAAAACTTTGAGTATGTAAAAAGCTGTTCAAGCAGATCCCTACAAAAATTTATTTCTGTAACCCTGTTCAGGAATACTGTACATTTTTACTAAGGATGTAACGATCCTATACCGAAGTCCGATATTGGTCAAAATTTTAGGATTGGACATCGGACTTATCCCAATAACCTAAATAGTGTCGATTCAGACAAAAATCTTACCTTGCAACAGGCCCATTAGAAAGCGTGCCAGAGTCATGGACAGGATTGGCTGGGACCAAAGATAAGCCAGGACAGGTGTGAAGATTGTCATTGACCCCCAGGCTGCTGCAGCCAGAACAAGGACCTTTTCACCTCCCACCCTATGAACAAATGATACAACTTAGATTAAGTGTTTCTGCCTAAATATTCTCAAACAACCTTCTGTAATCATAAAATCATGGGTGGTACATGTTTAGGTCATACATTTCCCAGAAGATCATATCAGGTGTTTGTTAGAAAAGAACAATCAGCATATATTCCATAACTCGTCTACATCAACTAAAGGGAAGACAAGAGGAAAAAAAAAAACGTAAACTGCCGCAAGCATCGGATTATCAAGTTTCCAATGGTTTCTGAATGCACCCCAAGGTATTCAAGGAATATTTGATGACAAGAAATTCTTTCCATTGGACATTATAAAGCAACAAATACCACCCATTTCCTATGACTACATTTAAATCATAAGATATTGTAGTGCATACTAAACATAAAAAGATTGTCTAAACAACCCCAGCTGCATATGCATTTTTGTTCTAACCCATGTCCATTAATAAGATGACCATGAGTAAATTCATAAAAGGGATCATTAAGGGATAATATAACCAGAATCTGTAAGTTCTCGTCAATTCACGTCCCTACCAGCGTGACACACT